TTGTCGACAGATAGACTTTGGGTCTCCATTCGGACTCACCTTGTTCACATCAATATAATTGTTTTGGGTCTTCTTTTGCTTGCTACCTGATCCCATCAACACCTCATGATCATACAGGCTGGTGTGCTTCTTTCATGTGGGCTTTGTTGCTCCTTGCTCAAGGGTCGCTTGTTTAACTTGAAGTTTTTTAAGACCCCAGACACTGTATTTGTTAATAGCCGGGCACCATCAGCTTTATTCACCATTTGCGTATGCACCTATTTTGTCTTCAGCGATCATGTTGGGAAAGTGAACGTCACAGAATGTCAGGTTATTAGAACAAAGTGTTCTTGCTTGAGGAAGTACTTGAGTAAAGACCCAATGTCTGTCTGCTACCTTAATACTTACCATTCAAATATATGTACATAGATCTATATCCTCATCATTATAAATTAATATATTTACATATGTACATTTCTATATTTATACCTCAATAATTGTCTTTTGCCTCCTAGTTCTTTCCTCTATTTCCTTTTACTTTCCTCCTGTCCCACTATCATGTTTGACCTTCATTTGGCTCTCAGTAATTCCTCTCGGCTGCATTGCCCTTAATCAAACTCCACCAGGCATTCAACGCCCTCCTTGCCATCAGTTTTAGATATACTGTTGTTCTCTTCTCCTGGGTTTGTTGACTCCCCTCTTCCCTTTCCCCGACCACCTCCTCCCCCATGTTCCAGAACCTTTGGCCTCATTGTTTTCTCCTTGCGATTGTTTTTCCTGCCTGTCTTATATGGATAGATATGAGGGGAAAAGAGAATAATAATTTTTTAAAGCTTATAAATAGTTCCAGGTCTGTCTGCTGACCCTTATGGATGTTTTCCAATCAGGTCTGATGAAGTGCTGAGCCCTGCACTCCAAGTTTGGTCTATTTTCGGGAATCCTCGGGGACTTTGGTGTTCTCCTTGCTGCTCCATTGGGCTCCCTTCGTGTTTCACCCAGTTGGGGTGGGGGGGCAGACTGGGCACAATTCCTGCATTGTGTTTCCAGTGCTATCTCCTGTAGCACTGTGGGTCAATGAGGGGGTGGCAAGTCTTGCGGTGGGGCCAAGCCTACAGTCCTCTCTGTGCATTGGCTGCTCCGAGAAGGAATATCATCCTCGAGGTTGGTGGCCCAGGCTGCAGCTCTCTCTCTCAGTTTGTGCCTGTGTGGTCCGGGCAGACCTGCCATTCCTCCCAGGCTATGTCTTCAGTGCTGTCCTCTGTACTGCCTTCTCCTGGGGAGGAGGTCAAAATAGCTGGGATTGGGGCTGGTCCTACAGACCTCTCTGTTAGTTCATTGCTTCATGCCGCTATGTTGCCCTCAAGGCTTACAGCACCAGGTTGAGGTCTGAACCCTCTCTTCCCTTCCTGTGGAGACATAAGCAATACCCTCCCTGTGTGTGGGTTAGTGCCCCGTTCCCCTTTATTTTTTTTTCTTTTCCCTTCCTTTTTAGTTCCTTTGTCCACTTCTTAATTGGGCTATCTGTCTTTTTCTTATGAAGTTTTGAAGTTCTTGTTGTAGATTCTGTTTACTGCATTACAAATATTAATTCATTTCTTTATCGTCATGGTTCTATGAGATAGTTACAATCATTTCCATTTTATTGATGAAGACACTGATTATAGAGAGATTAAGCAACTTGTGGTACTTCAGTAACCACAATGCTTCTTAAATAAAAACACCAAAAACACTATGTGTGTACTTTTATAATATTTTATTCACAGCTAGTAAGTCCTCACATTGAACCCAGACATTACTCAGTGTTCTTGGTGGTTATTAGCCTAGGGTATAGACCTCCATGCCACAGGGCTCCTTAATCAGTGTTCTTAACCACTATACTCTATCTTCTTTTTCCCCCAAACTATTGCAACCAAACTTCTGGATACTTTATTTTTTATTTGTTTAAATCATTTTATGGGTGGCTCATACAACTCTTATCACATCTGTACATACATCAATTGTATAAAGCCCATTTGTACATTCATTACCCTCATCATTCTCAAAACATGTATTCTCCATGTAAGCCCCTGGCATCAGCTCCTCATTTTCCCCCTCCCTCCCTGCTCCCCACTCCCTTATGAACCCTTGGTAATTTATAAATTATTATGTTATATCTTACTCTCTCCAACGTCTCCCTTCACCCACTTTTCTGTTGTCTGTCCCCCAAGGAGGAAGTTATATGTAGATCCTTGTGATAGGTTCCCCCTTTCTATCCCACCTTCCCTCCACCCTCCCTGTATCGCCACTCTCACCACTGGTCCTGAAGGGATCATCCGTCCTGGATTTGCTGTGTTTCCCTCCTGGATATTTTATGTATAGTGGTTCAATTTATATAATGTTTAGTGTTGCTATTTTATGTATAGCATTACAATTACAAATTTAAGGATAATACTCTCTATGGAGACAATACCAATAGTGTCTTGTTAAAGGGAACCCTGAGTTCCTATATTTCTAAAATTAGTTTACAGACATAAATCTTTTTAAAAATTATTTATCTTTGGATTTATTAGGCAAAAAACTATTTATAACTAGAAAAGTCCAGTTTTGACCATAAAATATTTTGTTTGAACCTCTAGGATATTGCTATATTCAAACACTTTAAAAAGATGATTAATATAAGAAGACAAGGGAAACCACAGCAAATCATCAGATATATTAATCCTAAAGAGGTAAGGACGTAATTTTTTCCCTTAGAAAGTACAACTACTTTATCAATATACTGTGCTCATATTTGTTTCTCTTTAAAAACTTTATTGAAGTCTTACATGTATAAAAGTTTATAAAACATAAATGTATAGCCCAGTTAATTACCACAAAGCAGGACCTGTGTCGCCATCACCCGGATCAATCTTTTTATACTCCAAACCTCTCCCTTCATGTGCCCTGTAAACTGCAGCCAATTCCCTCCATCCAAAAGGTAATCACTATTTTCAGTTCTAACATGTTAGTTTACTTTCATGTTTTTGAGCTATATATATAAATAGAATCTTATATAACCACTCCTCACTTAACAACATGGTTAGGTTCCGAAGACCAGGATATTATGCAAAAATTGGCATTCTGTAAAAATGGAGGATGATCACATCACCTCTCCCCATTAATCTGTTCTGTGAATACCCATCATGCCCCTGCTGAGGTCAACAGTCACTAATACCTCCCCCTCCCCCATGTCATCTCAAGAGAAGTTGGCACCCACTGCTGCCTTCAGGGGAGGGATACAGTCTTCCAGAGCCTGGCTGGCCCAACTGTCTGCCCCTTCCCTCGTCATTGGAGTCCCCTCCCTTTCCTGCCTTCATCTTACTTTCACAATAGATGTCTCTAATTCATCCCCTTAAGAACTCTGAAACACCCATGGTGGCTTTGTCAGAAGCTAGGGGCTCTGTCTGAAGGTAGAAGGGGATGGGTAGTATGGGTGGGGTGAGATGGAGGTTGCTCATTGGGCATCCCCTGAGCATCCCTTGGCTCTTGCCGAATGGCCCTGTTTCCTTCTACTCCTTTATCCCCATGAGAATACAGGGCTTCTTCCCAAACCTTGACGACTAGGCCCAGTGTCAGCCCTTGACCTTAAACTGCATCTGCTGCTGGCCGCTTACCTATTGACCTCAACCCTACCTGGGTAGCCTGTCCTATACACTGCTGGAGGAACTATCAATATGAGATTTGTCACAGATTTGTGTTGAGTGAAAGAAGCCAAAAGAATAAAAACTATATAATTTCTCTTATGTAAAGTTCAAAAGCTAGAGAGACTAATCTATAGTGATATAAATAAGAGCAAAGGAATGTGTGGGCCAGGATAAGAAGGAACTAGCTTTGATTCTGAAAAGGCTCAGTATTTTGTTCTGGGTGGAAAGTTCATGGATGTATGCATGCACAAAAACTATGGAGCTATACACATAAGAGTACACTTTCATGACTGAATGTGCATATGTATAGAATGTTTTTGTAGTAGTTATATAATCTGGTGTCAATTTGGGAATGGGGTGGAGTCTAACCTGTCAATCAGGTTGCAGCTAATGACCTCATTTGAAGATTTCATGGAGATAAATAGCTCAGTGGAGGCCAGATACACACAGACTCTCTGCTTATCTTCCTGCTGACAAGCCCCATGGAGAGCCCTGATGGAAGCAGAGCCCCGGAGCTGGAGGAGCCACATGGAGGCCCACACCAGCACTGAGATGCTTCCACCACCCACTGAGACTTTCTACCCACTGGCCTGTGATCTTCCTGTATTCTACATCATTGCATGGCTGCATAAGTCTAAAAAATTTATGGACTGGTATCAGACATATGGGCTACTATTTGACATGGACTTGATTTGGACTGGCCTGGGATATTTTCTTAATATACAATTACTCTTTAATATAAAATTCTGTCTTACACATATATGAATGTTTCTGGATTTGGTTCTCTAGTAACCTTGGGAGTGGGGCACTAGAGAAACAAATCATAAAGATGGAGAGTGGATGCTTGTTAGACCTCTGCCTCGTGTAGTTTTTCCTCCCTGGTTAGCCAGAGGTCAGATATGACAGTGCAATTACTGGGCTGTTCTGGAAAGAATGTGGGAATTTAAAATTTTGATTCCTAGAAATTGTCTTTGGTTAATCCTGTCTGAAATGGTGAAAATGATTGTGATAAATGTGAATCTTGAGTTTGGTGGCAAAATCACCCCTTGAATTTCTCAGAGACCATGCCGCTTAGTGAAAATGGCTGACAGAAAGTCAAAATGGCTGACAGACAGCCTGGTCCTGGCTTGAGGCAATGCAGCCAGGGGCCTAAGGTAATAGTTTGTATCAATAGAATAGTTTAGATAAGGATTGAGATAAACTAGGTAAGGATTGAACTTGACTGTTTTAAGAATTGAGTTTAGGATCTGGCTGTACTAGGTTTATACTGTTGTTGTCTTCTTATTATCGATAAAATGATTGATAGAATGATTATTGAGAAGTATAAACAGAGAGTTTGTAAGCTAACTGTTTCAGCTACCAATTTGAAATCTTCAAATGGGTTAGGACATGCTGCAAAGAAGGCTCTGAAAAGATAAGTCCCACCCAATGTCTTAAGTGCTCAGGACATTCAAAGGTGAAGGGACTTGCCTTGGGGGCTGTTGACAGATTGAAGGGAAAAAGGGAACTCTTTGGATTTTTAAATTTTGAACTAGTGGTTTTTGTCAGAAACTGGAAAAAATCTGGAACCATGAAGAAAAGTCCTTTCTAGGACTGAACATTAAAGGGAGTCTGTGGATAGACTGAAATGCTTGCTAGGTGACCACCTGGATCCACTTGTTGAGTGGAAGTGGGAGAAATGCATCAGTAAAGAGACCGTTGAGTCTGGCCACTGATACCATGAACCTGGTTTACAGGAACTAGAGAAGACAAGAGTTGGTTGGTTGGTCTGATGTTTATAAAGTTCTGTGGAACCTGAGCCTATGGCATGACCTAGCCCAAGGGGGCTGAGGTTGTTGAGAATTTGTGACGGGTCCATGATCTAAAGGAGAGGCAACCAATGGGCACCCTGTTGAGGCTAAGTGAGGAAGCCCACATAGAGCTGACCAGAACCCTACCCGTTGAAGAGAAGATGGTTGAGCCTTTGAACTGGTGCATATTGTTGCTGATTTTATGGGTTGCCTGTCCTGATTTGACTTTGCTTATAGATGTGGCCTCACAAGGTTCCAACTGGAATGAAGGTTTTTCATGTCAAAGAGTATGAGTCTCCTCAAAGCACTGGGTTGATGTAAATGAGCGGTGTAGAAATTGGATACCCAAAATGGGGGGGATAAAGGCATGAAGTGGTTGACATAAACTTTCACAGGTGGGGGAATATATTCATAGGATTATGGGATTAAGGTGTAGGTATGACTTAACTGCAACTGTTAGGCATAAAATATTGCTGTGTTGTTCACATATCGAATATTATGCTTAAATGAGGCTTTGGCACATAGTGAATTATATGGTTTAAGTTTTATCCTTTTAGGTAAAGATATGATTTTATTATTGCTTTGTTGAAAATTATGTATGTCTATAGAATTGTATAAAAGTGTCAAGTTGACAAAAGGTGGTCTATGATAGTTACATAATCTGGTGTCAACTTGTGAAGGGGTGGAATCCAGCTGGTCAATCATGTCACAGCTTGATGACCTCATTTGGAGGTGCCACAGAGATAAATAGCTCACTAGAGATCAGATATAGACAGACTCTCTGCTTCATATTTCTGCTGACAAGACACATGGAGCTATGCTAGAGCCCTGGAGCTGGAGGACCCCTGTTAGTGCTGAGATTATTCCACTGTCATTGGATCCACAAGACTTTCCCACTGGCCTGTGATCTTCCTGTATTTAGCATCATTGCATGTATTCTGTGAGTCTAAAGAGGAATTTATAGATTGGTATCAGACATATGGGCTAATATTGGACTTATGGACTTGATCTGGACTGGGCTGGGATGCTTTCTCAATATACAATTGCTCTTTTATATAAAACTCTTTCTTAGACACGTATGAGTATCCATGAATTTGCTTCTCTAGTCAACCTGGACTAACACAGTTTTGATACAAATTTGTAAGAAATGTAATATTTCGTAACAGGAACTCAAAACTACATACCTGGTTTTGTAAAATTCCTAGTTTTTGGAAAAATTATACATCTATATATGTATATATAAATACTGTCTTCAAATTCTCAAAAAAACCAGTATTGTCTTTTAGGCATTACAGATTTAGTAATCTAGTATAACATGGATTCTCTCATCTAATAATATTACCAAGAGACAAAATTGGACAAGATTTTTTTTTACTCTACTTTTGATATAGAGTAAATATGTAGAAGACATTATGTACAATTCTTAAAATATTTAAACATAGATGTTTGATGTAACAAGAGCTAGGCAGGACAGGACATAGAAAGGAAACACAATATTGTGTAATTATTGAGTTATTGAGTTATTAAATAAGCTGTTAACTTATTAGGTGTCCATAAATATTAAATCCTTATGCCTTTTTTTTCTTTAGTAACGATTTGATTGTGTTCAAGGTTAAAGTTTACATAGCAAAATAGGTTCCCATTTAACAATTTTTATACGCATTGTCCCATGATACTGTTTACAGTTTTCATAATGTGCTTGCGTCCCCTTATTTCCACTCTCTTTGTTCTGTTTCCTTTGGTCTAACTTCCTGCCCCTCCAAGCCTTCCGACCTTTGCTTTTAGGTAACTGTAGACAACTTGGTCACTTATGGTGGATTGTGTAAGAGAGCACATTACCCAGAGGTGATTTATTTTAGAAGACAATTTATTATTTGGCTGAAAGGTGACGTCTGCGAGTAGCTGCAGTTTCAAGGTCTAAGGGTGTCTTTGGGCAATAATCTTGGGCATTGCTCTAGTCTCTGTTGGTCCAGTAAGTCTGGCTTTTTTTAGAAATTTGAGTTTTCTATTAGTTTCTCTGATTCTATCTAGGACCTCCATTTGTTTACCTGTTCAGAAAAGTTGATAGTGGTAGCTGAGCACATCTAGTCTGCATGGTCTCAGGTGGAGGAGACTGGGGTCCTTGTGGGCTATTAGTCCTGTGAACTTGGTCAGCATTATTTTAATATAATAGAGTGAGAAGAAATGAATTGATATTACAAAATATTGAAGAGTGATGCGTTTTTCTTTTAGGCTGATTTTCTTGATGCTGCTGCTGGCATTATTGTTCGATTCAGATTGGGTGGAGTAAGTATGGGTACATTCTTATTTCATAGTTTTATAGCATGTTTATGTGAAATTTGAAAGTTAGGATTTTTTTAATGTAAGACAATTTTTACAATTTGACTACATCTGTATTTTGAATTCTCCCGCCCACAGGTTGACTTTCCTCCCAATATATACTACAAAATTTTCACCCACAGACATATTGAAGATCTGTGTGCTAACAGTCCTAGAGATTACACAAAGCTTCCACCGAAGTACACGTCTCATATCAGAAGTGATTGTCCCCAGGAAGATGACAGCAGTGGCTGGTATCGTCGTGTAGAGAACAATGGCTGGAGACTTGTTTCTGATGATGTAAGAATATTAATCATTTTTAATATATATTTATAAAACCATTCATCTCTTTGAAAATTAATTTTAAAGTTAAAACCAATAATAGATCCTAGAAATTTAAATAAGTTTTATTTATTTTGTTAACTACTTTGAGATAACTAAAAATACTTAAAAGTACAGAAACGACTTTTTTTCCCCTTACATTTATTTCTAATTTTGGTTATCAGTCTTGAGTCTAAGCTATCTTTAAAACCCACTGACCTACTGCCATCAAGTCGATCCTCACTCAGGACAGAGTAGCACTGTTCACTAGGGTTTCTGAGGCTGTAAATCTCTACAAAAGCAGATAGCCTCCTCTTTCTCCTGCAGAGTGGCTGGTGGGTTTAACTACCAGCTTTGTGGTTAACAGCCAAATACTTAGCCCTCAGGTGCATCACAGCTCCTTGACCTACCTTAAACCCAAGAAAACAAGCCTACTACCATCCGGTTGATGCTAACTCATAGGGACCCAGTGTAGGGTTTCTGAGACGATGAACCTCTATGCGAGCTCATCTTTCTCCCCAGAAGGGACGTGGGGGTTGCACCACCAGCCTCCCATTGAGCAGCCCAGCACCGCACCCAAAGCTCCACCACAATATTCCGTGTCAACAGTTGCTAATGTACTAGTTAGTGACATGGCGATCTTCTTCCCGTTGCACAACTATTCTCCCCTCCTTTTCTGAGTGTTCCTCCCACATTAGCATAAATCTGCGGCCCCCTAGCAGTTCTGGTCTTCAAGCTACTGTTGCCAATTTGCTCAATATAGATAGTTTTCAAAAGAGTACAATGTTTAAGGTGCACATTTTTCAATAGTCCAGCAAAACTGTTGTTTGGTTTTAAGAAGATTTCAGGGGCTATTTTTGGTTTAAGGTTTAATGATACTGACAGCGTTTTTATTATTATTTATAAAGAGACAACTGAGAGATACAGGCTTATTGTTGAGATATTCATCCTTATGCATACATATATCATGTATACACACAGAAGCAGATACTCCCTTCTGAATGGCCCACATTTCCCAGAAAGCCCTTCACTTCGATTATTGGTGTTTATTTATGTATTTATTACAGAATATATTTTATAGGATATTCTTTTCCAATGGACAATACATTATATTCAGAAATGCCTGCTAGACTAGTATTGCTTTGTCAAGGCCCACTGGCCACGTTTTCATGCTTGATGTAGATACTATGAGTAGTTCTCCCAGAGGCGATTCTCTCTTCAGAGTTTCTTCACTCAGACAGCATCCATATAAGAGGTTTAAGGGTCCCCTTCATTTAAATGATCGCTTGACTTGGTGTATTGACTTAATGTATTTATAAAGAGCATTGTAGTTACCATTTCTTAGGTTAAGGAGGTGTGGGTCTCTATGCCATGATATTGACTGGCCCATGGTAAAATCTGAGGTGACTCTCACATCTTGAAATGCAGCCTCCTACAACGTTAAGACCCTTCTATATCTAGATGATGGAGCCCTGGTGGTGTAGTGGTTATGTGTTGGGCTGTGATCCACATAGTCAGCAGTTTGACGTCACCAGCAGATCCATAGTTACAGGCTCAGAAACCCAGAGGAGGTCACTGTGAATCAGCATTGACTCATGGCAGTGGGAGAGAGAGAAGAGATGAACTGCCGGAGAATTGAAACAAACTAAATACTGAGCATCTTCATTTTGTTAAATTTGAAAATCTTATTATTATTAGAGAATAGTGGTGGTTCAATGGTAGAATTCTTGTTTTCCATATGGGAGACCCAACTTCCATTTCCAGCCAATGTAATTCATTTGCCTGTCAATGGTGGCTCGTGTGTTGCTAAGAGGCTGAGCACATTAGAACAAAGCTCTGGACTAAAACAGAAGAAGAGGAAAGGCCTGACAATCTTCCAAAAATCAGCCAATGAAAATTGTACGGGATCACAACCCCAGAGCCACCACTCATAGTACAGATGGCAAAGGATGGGCAGTCCTTCCTTCTGTGATTTATGGATCACCGTAATTGGGGATGACTCAATGGCAACTAACAACAAGTTTTCAATTTACTCTAAAATAGCCACAGAATTTGTTGCCATCATCATTTTCAAAACATTTTCTACTTGAGCCCTTGATATCAGCTCCTCATTTCCCCCCTCCCTCTTCCACCCTCC